GGCTGATGGGGTAGACTGCCCATCATCTTGATTCTTAACTTCTTCATCTTTTTTATTCAAAATTTATTTTTTAGCCCTTTTTAACTTTTTATTAAATTGCAAGCCACCCAGAGTTGCTATATGAGTGAGATAGGCGTCATAGAAATTTAATAAATAAAATCATTATTGTAATACTATATAAACAAAAATGTGAAATCACAGCTGCTACTCTTTAGATGGTGTTGGCCTTCATATTCACAAATAAAGCTATAATCCAATGGTAGCATATAGGTTTTGTATGCAGAAAAACAGAGGCATTTCCATGTAGAAAACTCTGGGGACAAGTGATACACCTGTCTCAGGTCATTCACTATCTTTTAAAATTTATATATATTGCTTTCACAACCCCCTATTCTTTAAATCTGTTTCTGTGCACTGCCCAGAGTCACCTTTGGTGAGATATGCGGCTATATAATTTTATGCATAAATGGTAATTTGTATTATTGTATCTCTTATACGGCAAGGCCATTTACCTGCATCTGAGAATCATCTGGCTGATTCTGCTGCGTGAGCCTAGATAGCTTCCTCTCAATGTCTGTAGTGAATAGAGATGTGGAAGAAATCTTCCATAGGTTTAAATGTGAGGATCTTCCCAGGGACGATCGCTGGATAGGGATAGGCAGTTGTTTTCTAGTATTTGTTACTTTGTGTCCAGTAACAATTATTGGACTATTTTTTGGGTCCTAACTATCCAGAATGATTATTTGAAGGGACCTCCAGCTCAAAACTACATTAGGGTAGTTGCAATTTAAAGGGGTGCTGGAGCAATTCTTCCTTTTTAAAAGTGTGTATATTGTAAATAAATAATAGTAGTATATACATAGCTCTGTAATTAATAAAAAAAAGTTGTGTACACAATTTACATTTATTTGGGAAACCTGCATACAAAACTGGATCAATATGGAAAATTGCAAATGAATTTTTATTTTTTTTTACACAGAGAGAAATTGGAATAACAGGTGAACAATTATACTAACAAAATACCCAATTTAGAGAGATATTTGCTTCTCTGCCACCAACCATGAGCTCCATTTTTCTGATTTTTCATTGTATGCTGATTCAGATATTTATTTCACAAATTTGAGCTTTTTTTCTGAGGATGCCACTTATACCAATGAGCCTTGAGGGTTGAGACTAGTGTGAACTGCTTATGCTGATCTGCTAGATCTACACTGTAATTCCTAATAACTTGCACAAAAAGTCAGCATTTATCAATGCACAATTTCAATCACTCTTATAAAAGCCTTTTCACATAAAAAAGAAAGAATGCCCTACAGTCAATCTGTAGTGACTTCATGGATGTATCCACACAATTTTCATGTTCATAATAATGTGGTTTGCCATTATCTTCTTCCAGTGTGATTCTCAACCTCTCGATTTAGCCTCTAGCCCTAGTATTTCCTGATGAACTCCTGTCTGAGTGTTAACTAGGCCTGACCCTGCTTAAATTCCAAGTCCAAGTATTACTACTGAAAGTATCTCAAATATGACCTGTCAAAAGCATATGAAGTTTAGGTTTTAAGTGAAAAGTTATGAGAAGTAACTTTTATTTCCTCCTTGATACAGACTAAATTAGATAGGAATTAATCTAGAGATGCCATTTGAATCTCATCAATAAAGATGTTGTAATAGAACAGTCCAAATCATGCTTCTCTGACTATGGTTAAGATGATAAGTAATCGTATTTCCTTCAGTTACGCATAAAACTGCATTTATATGTTATAATAAGAACAAAATATTCTCATAGAACAAATTCTTGATTATAACAGTTGTAGATAATCAGTAAAATTTCAAAAAAAAACCACCAAAGTTCATTAACGTCCAGGAAAAACAAGGAATTAAACATTTTTGTAATGGGATGGGTTTCGTTTGGAAGCCTTGGGCAAATTAAAAGGGCTTATATGAAGAATATTTGGGTTTGCATTGTCAATCAAGGACTAAAGCTCATATTCCAGTGCAGCCTTTGCAATCTCCAGTTCCTATTTTCTACTTATACTATCGGTATGAAAAAAATCATACACATATTAGTTAGTTCATTAAAAAGAATTATGCATGGCTATGATTTACATTTTATATTTTCCTCCTTGTCGTCAGATGACTGAAAAGCGATCTTGATACTTAACCACACGATGGGGCTCTTGTACTGTTTTCCCTGCGTATTCAGAAGTTCAGGGACCTGGGGATGCTGTGAAGTGAGATCCAATTTAATTCCTTGACTTGCATAACGGGGGCTGAGCTCCAAAAAGTCGATGGGGCCATGGCAACATTACACATATTTTTAATACATTACAGCTAGTCCTCACTTAACGATTTGTCCAGCAATCATTCAAAGTTACAATCATGCTGAATAATGAGACTTACGACCAATCCTTGAAATTGTGGTTGTCACCGCATCCCTGCAGTCACATGATCGTGATTCAGTCACTTGGCAACTGATGTGCATTTACAACAGTCATAGTGCTTCCCATGGTCACATGATCACCATTTGTAATCTTTACAGCCAATGAGCAAAGTTAGTAGGGAAGCCAGCAGGAAGTCACAGGTCGCTGTCATATGACATCATGCTTAACAATCCACAGTAATTCGCTTAACGACTGCAGTTGGAACTGACAACCACTGTTGTAAGTCAGGAGCGTCACATGATTTACCACTTTAAGCCAATTCACCTAGAAACAGAGTCACCAATTCCAATTATGGTTTGTTGTACTCTGCATGTAACTAAGCATTTTCTCTTATGCTACTATGAAATTTAAAATTCAACTGCAATGGAATGGCTGCATCTTCACAATCTTCTTTACACCCTTTTTGGAGTAAAGTTATACAATATGTTGATAAAACTGAGAAAACTGTGATTTTATTTTTTATTTGTATTTATATTTACAAATAATTCAAGATGATGAACATATCCAGCACACCTCCCATTTTCCCCACTACACCACCCCTATGAGATGGCTTGGGCTGACAGAGAGTGGCTAGCCCAAAGTTATGCAGTTGGCCTTCCTGGCTAAGGCTTACGGTCACCTGTTTTCTAACCTGATGCCTTAACCACTAGACCAAACTGGTTCAGATATGTATTTTATATTGTAGTGAATTATATACTGATTACTTGAGATTTAGCATGTTCAGAACAAACAAACAACAAAGATGGAATTTTTTGTGTGCTCTAGCAATAGAAGAAACAATAATTCTTGGATGGGAAAATACTTTATTTCGACATATAAAGGACTAGATTTCAATGATATGTGATTTAGCAATTTCTTTTGGTCATCTGCATGCAGAGTTACTAATCTAGTGATTTCTATTCAGGTAAAACGTTTCCTGTAGAAAATATGTCCAACTAGCCAGTCTAGTTAAGTAATCACACTTTATTCCAGATGAAATGGTTAATCCATTTAGTCTAGTCTTGTCTACTCTGATTTGCAGGAGCTCCAAGGCATCACCTGGATTTCAGGTGGGATCTTTTCCAACACCAGCCACTGATTCTTTCTTTTTTTTAGCTAGAAGATATCAAAGTTTGAATTTGGAACTCTGCATACAAAACAGATATAGTTATAACATATGGTGATTATTCTCTCACAGTACTGTTGCTTATAATGGGTCCTTCACCATAATTCAATTAGTTGGAAGAATCTATTACGTGTCTCACATATATGAACATCAGACTCCTTCCTACGCATGACATGCTGCCATTCAACATGGGTGGCTTCACTGTCAGATGCTTTGATCAGTACACCCATTCATATCACTTAACTGTGCACTTAAAACCTAAAGCAGCAAGGGAAAGAGAAGCAATTGTTAACAAAGTCATGTCCCACACAGACACATTTTTAAATAAAAGAACAGCTCTCTTCTTCATGTCAAAAGTCAGGTCAGAAGACCCTTGGTTTTTCAGACATTTTAACAGCAGCTGGGGGAAAATGGTGCATGATGCAATAAGATTCCCTAAATCAAATCCTCCTTTTAAGACTTGAATTCTTTTGCAGAAGTAAAAATATATGCAATATTTTCTCTGTCAAGCTACACCTCACACTTGTCTGTATACTTGCTTAATTATATCGTCAGTACATAAATTCCAGCAGTGCTATATAATTAAATCTTGTCATTTGCTAGTAGCCATGAAGTACTTATTAAAAAAAGCCTAAACTCATAGTGTCACCATGTTTCTGCTTCTATTAGAACAAAACCTAATGAACAAACTTCTGAGTTTCCTAGCTAGGGTGTTAAACCAAGCAAGGAAATGCAAGTAAGAAGAGATAAAGGAGGTCTTTGCTTTCGGCTGCCCTAACTGTTGAACTTAAAACACAGAAAATATTTGCCTTTTATCTCATGACAGATATCAATGTCTAGGAGCTTTTTAACATTTAACATTTATATTTTATTGGGTTCTACTAATCTAGAATATATTGCTAGTCTGTGTATGATCTGCCATACGCTAAATAAATAATCACAGATGTTAATTAGCTTCCCAATGCTAGTATATTTCATCTGTATGGTTTTTTTTTCCCATCCTGGTGTCTTAAAACGTATTAGTGTTCCTTAAACTTGGCAACTTTAAAACATGTGAACTCTGAAGTCCCAGAATTCCCAGCTCGATTCCTATTTCTAAAATAACTCCCATCTTTCTTTTGCAGGAAAGAATGGGACCAAGAGGGCAATGCTGTGTTTAAGCCACTTGCCAATTTGAAAACCCGTGAAAACGTTTGCTACAATCAAATCTTCCACGTCTTTCCGCCGTTTTCCTGAAAACGTTGCGCTCCGCTTTCCACCTGCTCACCTGAACTAGTGAAAGCAGACGTCTTCCCTCCGTTCCCCCGCCCCGCCTTTGTGACGTCAAGAGAGCATCTTACTACAGTACTGAGGCGGCTCACTTCTAACGCTAGATCGCACCGTCCAAGCTTAGTATCGCGAGATGTTATTAAGGTGGGGTTTCCTCCCCCCTCCCCTGTGTTTCCTATACCTTCCTTAACTCAAAGCCTCCTGGATCTATGCAGGTTGGGGGCGGAGTCCTCCGGGCAGGTTTGACAGTGACGTGGGAGACTCCCCCCCCCGCCGGGTCCCGCTGCTTTTACGGGAAGACAAAACGGGTAGGTGGGCGCGGAGCTCGAGACAGGGGCTTCCGGCGAGGCAGTGGTTGAATGGCTCCATTTCCCTGGTGGGAGCGTTGTGCTTCCTCTGGGAATATCTATGGAAATTCTCAGTTATCCAGGTCATAATGATCCCAAAGGTGCTTTTTCCACGAGGCAGCTGGACTTTCTTGAAGTCCAGTTGCCTCGTGAAAAAGCACCTTTGGGATTCCTCTGGGAAGGGGCCAAGAAGGAAGAGATGATTTGGGGGAGGAGGGGTTCCCTATTGGCTTCGTCACTACATCTTGACATTCATGGACGAGGAAGGTTGGAGTCCCGCCTCTCCCTAGTTCTGCCCCTGAAAAGGGTAGTGTTTCTGGTCCAGAATCCCTCTTCAGGGTCAAGCGACTCCTGTGGCTAAGATTTCAAATGGGAAAAATGTGCCCCGCTTGTTTGCATAGTTCATTGTTGCTTTGCTGAAAGGGAGAGAGAGAAATTTTTGTATTAACCCATCTGTGCCTTGCAACAACGTGTTCTATGGACATGTCTGTCTGCAGGTGATTTTTCAAGTCAATTTTGCAGCCTGGTGGCTAAATTCAATTTTTTTCGGTCCTCACAACTAACAATTATTTATTAGATTTACATCTTCTTTCATCCAGAAGATCAGGGTGGGATACATAGCTCTGCCTCTTCCAATTCTTCTTCGCAAAACTCCTTGAAGTAGGTAAGGCTGACATAGAGCAACTGGCCCAAAGTTACTCAATGGATACTGTATTTGTGGCTGAGGATGAACCAGAATCTCTTCAGCTCTAATCCAGCACCTTAACCACTATGTCACATATTATACCAGTATCATCATCTTCTAAAAATAGGTGGCTGTTTGCACCCTCAGAAAGATGCTTTAGCACCAGTTTGTATTTACCTATCAAGTGGATATTGAAAGCAATTGATATCAAGATTTTTAAGCTCATTCTTAAAAAACCTATTACACAGATTTTCCAAAATACAGGACACAATGATGTTTCCAAGAAATGGCAAAATAGGAAGAGAAGAGATAAGAGTTGTCAAAGATCAACAGTTAACCAATTTGAACTTGTGCAGCAGATTTCTCTCATTACAAATGTTTATCTTAAAATGAGTCATTTGTTCAGTAGCTAGCACAAATACTGGTAGTTAAAAGACAGGTTTAAGCTTTGACAGCTCTACTTGAAGTAGTTTCCAGTTGAAAAGTCAAGAAACAGGACTGGGAAATTAGGACTGCTTGAGATTGGGAATTACTGCCAGCCAGGCCAGACAATACAGAGTTAGATAGACTAGTGAACCTGATAAAATAATGTTGGTATTTTTAGTCTAAAGACATGGCTCTTCCAACAAGCGGGATTGGCCTAGGGAATTTTTAGTGGGTTTTTAAGAGAAATTTTAATTATATAGGCCATAGCTAATATTTCTTTTTAATTTGGTTTTAAATTAGGTATTTATTGTAGTATCTGTTTTATAAGGCTGTTAGCCGCCCTGAGTCCGGGAAGGAGAAGGGCGGGATATAAATCGAATAAATAAATAAATAAATAAATAAATAAATAAATAAATAGTCTGATGCTTTATCCATGAAAAATATTTGATATACTTACAACCCCAATTAGGATTGAAATTTTGGCTGCTAAGCGATGTCATTAAATGAGTCATCACATGATTGGATCAAATTTTATTATCATTTTTACCATGGTGGTTAAGAAAATCATGTAGTCTGTCTTCCCCCCCCAGTTAATGTTACTTGTTGGAAACTGCTGGAAGGTCACAAATTGAGATCATTGTGATAATAGAATCCTGCAACCGCTTGTGAAATATGAGCTGGCTGTGAAGTGCCCAAATTGCAATCATGTGACCACAAAGGTAGTTGATTATAACTTTGAGGACAGGTCACTTTTTCTGAGACTGCCATAAGTTTGAACCATTATTAAATGTCCTATTAAATTGCCCATAAATGAACCATTATTAAATGTCCTATTAAATTGCTCATAAAGCACTAGCAATTATAGTGTCGTGCCACAACTGCCCAGCACAGTCATGTGACCACATTTTGGGAGCTTGACAACAGACTCACTTTACAGCTGGTTGCAACACCTGCAATCGTGTGACCATGATTTGCAACTTTTTCCCTGGTTTATGGCAAAAACACTCATTTGGGAAGAATGGGTTCATCTTTGCCACTATAGCATTCGCTTAATGACTGTAGATTTGCTTAATGACCACAGTGATTTGTTTAATGATGTCAGATATTAGTCAAGCAGAATCATTACTTGAAGACTGGACTTGAGAAATAAAGGTTATAATTTAGCATTTGTTATAATTTATAGTCTTTTAGCTGTAAATGTTTCAAAGTTAAGAATGAGGCCTTTACATTGTTTTGTGATATGCTTCTTATATTATGAATAGCTTCATAGATTGTTTAATGATAATAACCTGAGAGAAGGCAGACAGTTTTTCTTACTGTTCAGCAGATAGAAGTTAGAAAAGCAAAGACAAAGATTTTAGTAGGCATATGAAAAGATGAGATTAGTACTCTCCATTGATGACCTTTTTTCCCTCTTTTAGGTAGTCTGGAAAAATCAGATTCTTCACAAAGTCATTAGTAGTTTAGAACAATGTTTGCGGACCTGGAGTATGACATTGAGGAAGACAAGCTGTAAGATTTTTTTTTCTTTTTCCCTGTTTCCTGCTAATAATGTGTATCTTTGTATTTGATTTGGGGGAAATGTGAAACTTGAATTAGAACTGTTTGGAAAGCACACAACAATAATTACTTGACTGAGAAAAAAAGTTGTAATAAGAATTTAAAAAATAGCAAAACACACTCAAAGCCTAGTAGATTTAGAGCCAAATCAAAATGCCTTAGTTCTGGAGCTTTATTCATTTACAGACCTTTTGCTCCAGTTTGGATTGGGAAAGAGCATTCTATAGAAGTTAAGTCAAAATCTTCAGTATTTCCTTGGTTAAATGACTGGAAAAAACATGTAAACTGGGCACTTATGGATATAGTTTACATTAATGTCTCTTGTTATTAGGTGATTGCTCTTTTTCAGCTTTTACTTGATTGGATTTATATTCTCCTGGCAGTCTTATTACATAGATTGTGAATTCAGAATCTAACAATGGTGAAAAAAGTAAGGTTCTACATTTAGGCAAGAAAAACCAAATGTACAGGTATAGTATAGGGGGTACCTTGCTCAATAGTAGTAACTGTGAGAGGGATCTCGGAGTCCTAGTGGACAATCACTTAAATATGAGCCAGCAGTGTGCTGCAGCTGCCAAAAAAGCCAACACAGTGTTGGGCTGCATTAACAGAGGGGTAGAATCAAGATCACGTGAAGTATTAATACCACTTTACAATGCCTTGGTAAGGCCACACTCAGAATACTGCATCCAGTTTTGGTCACCACAATGTAAAGAAGATGTTGAGACTCTAGAAAGAGTCCAGAGAAGAGCAACAAAGATGATTAGGGGACTGGAGGCTAAAACATATAAGGAACAGTTGCTGGAATTGGGTATGTCTAGTTTAACTAAGAGAAGGACGAGGAGGGACATGATAGCAGTGTTCCAATATCTCAGGGGCTGCCACAAAGAAGAGAGAGTCAAGCTATTTTCCAAAGCGCCTGAAGGCAGGACAAGAAGCAACGGATGGAAACTAATCAAGGAGAGAAGCAACCTAGAACTAAGAAGAAACTTCCTGAGTTAGAACAATTAACCAGTGGAACAACCTGCCTCCAGAAGCGGTGAATGCTCCAACACTGGAAGTTTTTAAGAAGAGACTGGACAGCCATTTGTCTGAAATGGTATAGGGTTTCCTGCCTGAGCAGGGTGTTGGACTAGATGACCGCCAAGGTCCCTTCCAACTTTACTATTATTATTATTATTATTATTATTATTACAGATTTGGAGAGAACTGAATGAGAAAATAAATTACAATAGATATATACTGTCAAAATTACAGGAGAAGCTTGTGATACATGTCTGAAAGTGTCAAATTTTAATGCCTGCAAGAAAAATAATCAGTTTTTATTTTCAATAAAGAGTAAGTCCTAGAAGTAAAATCAGTGCAATAGTGATTTGTGTTGGAAAATAATGGAATGAACTTTGTAAATTTACACCTGGCTTTATGTCGCTATGAAACTAATTTAAAATCTAAGAAGTGCTGACTGGAAGTTAAGGCTGGTAATCTGAGGCTAAAAACTATCATCAAGTGACCACGGTTTAATCATGCAAGACATTTTGGTTCTTGCTATGCTTCTGCAAATAATTTACATGGTCGAATCAAGATAAACAAAAATTTTGTTCACATTTTATATATTTATTTATCAAATTTAGAGGCCACCCATCTCATTCTCAGATTGTATTTTATTGTTGCATTTATATTTTTAGTCTGAAACTCGATATTTAGGAAATAAATATCTAACACAATTTTGATTCCTTTTATCTATATCTCTGTTGTGGTGAAAGGAGCAGTTGGCAGGTGTTTTTGTTTTTATCTCTGTTTTAGGGGAATTCCTACAGTACCTGGAACAGTGACCTTGAAGAAAGACTCTCAGAATCTGATTGGGATTAGTATAGGTGGAGGAGCCCAATATTGTCCCTGCCTCTATATCGTCCAGGTTAGTGTTAGGGAAGAGGAATATATTCTTAGAAAGAAAGAAAATAATAAAAAATGCGTGCAACATCTTGGGAGCAGAGTTTTGATTGTGGGAACATTTCTGAGGATCCAGCCTTGTAGCCTGTAGCAATAGGAACAACAGTAGTAACAGCAACAAAGAGAGGTGGACCACAGTGCATGAAGCTTATAGGATAATAAATAATTTATTTTTTTAATGGACTATCAGTCTATATGTCAGTAAAATAAACAACTAAATTGATGTATTTTCTGATCTGGTATAGCTAATTTCTCTTTCATAAAAATAAGTTCATGGCCTGGAATAGAAAGATACTTCAAATTCATTGGTTCTTATATGTGAGCTCAAAATTTAAAAGAAATCCTGTCACAGATGTTAAACAAGAGGAGTTCAGGGAGAATTCAGTCATAGTTTTGAATATACTCTAATTTCAAAAGGTTAGTCTATGAACCTCCTCAAGTGGCAGTAAGATTTCTTTCAGTGTCTAATGAAGTGTGATACGGGAATCTGCCCAAATGGTGAGTGAACTATGGAAAGTGAAAAAAATGAACTGGTTTGAAATCTCTGAACTAAAAAACACTTCAGGTCAGCTAACAGCTTTTATTATAGAAGAATGGATATCAAATAAACCTCCAGTAGCATGGCATATTTCAACCAAGTAACACAACTTTTGGATGGCTTCAGCACCACATAGTATAGATAAGCAACAAGTGTTTATGAAAGTCCTGTCATGATATTTCTGAAAATTAAGACTTTTTATAAGTAACAAATGTGGCAAGAAAATTAGCAATTATGCATGGAAACTTTAGCTCTTTCTCTTTGGCTTCTTTCATCATAGCAGTAGCACTTAGACTTGTATACCGCTTCACAGTGCTTTACAGCCCTCTCTAAGCAGTTTACAGAGTCAGCATATTACCCCCCAACAATTTGGGTCCTCGTTTTACCAACTTCAGAAGGATGGAAGGCTGAGTCAACCTTGAGCCGGTCAGAATCGAACTCCTGGCAGTGGGCAGAATTAGCCTGCAATACTGCATTCTAACCACTGCACCACCATGGCTCTCCCATCATCACTATGTATTCCTCCTCAGGTATTTGACAATACTCCTGCAGCTTTCGATGGAACATTGGCAGCTGGTGATGAAATCACAGGCGTGAATGGGAAATCAGTCAAAGGAAAAACCAAAGTAGAAGTAGCCAAAATGATACAGGTGGTGAAGGTGAGATACTTTAAGGCTTGCTGGAATGTAAATTGTGGATTTTTTGCTCACGCACATAATTGTGCCTTTCTCTTACAAACCCATAATATTTGGTTCTGATCTTCTAGGGAGAGGTGACAATTCATTACAACAAGCTCCAGGCTGATCCAAAGCAGGGGAAAAGTTTAGACATTGGTAGGAAAAACTGACTCTCTTTAAAAAAAAAGTTTGAGCCTGTTTTTGTGAAATGCAGGGATTATGCTACATGTTGGAAAATGCTGCTTATGGATTGTAACGTCTCTTTCCTGGAATGCAGTGCTAAAGAAAGTGAAGCACCGCCTGGTAGAGAACATGAGCTCAGGGACAGCAGATGCCTTAGGACTGAGCCGAGCTATCCTCTGCAATGGTAAGTAATAATGCAGGAAGCAGTGTGACCATTGGTGCTGGTTGAGCCAAGTGCCATCACAGATTAAACATTCTCACCAAGTGTGCCTTTTCCTGAAATTGAATCTCGTCCAGTTGGTGATGTTGATACCTGACTCGTAACTGTGGGGTTGAGAGCCAATGTAATATACTTGTTAAACACCAGAGATGCCCGCTTCAAACCTCACCACTTTAGGGTGATCCTCAGGTGAGCTACTATATCTCAATCCTAGCCCTCCAGTTGTAAGGCAAGGCAGTAGCCATTCCTTATATAGTGACTCTGGGAATGTATACTGATCTGCCAAGCTTATCTGTGGTCTTAGAATGAAATTCTGTTCCCTTTGTCAAGCTTTTTACTCTCTCCAAATGTCTGACAAGCGCATAAAAGCATGGCTGTGCCAGGAGAAATGACATCTGTGGGCAGCCTGGGCTTAAACTTTGCACTATTCCCATGATGTCATTTAATCCATAGAAAGGGCCATGAGAAAGAATTTGGATATTGAGATGGCCCAAAAATGCCTGTTTATTTTGAGATTAAATCTGTAGCATCAAGTGAATAGCATTCTACAGCAATGTAGAAATTAGATGATAGTCTCATTAAAACTTTATGTATTATCTTTGAGAAATCATGGAGAAGAAATGAAGAGTCAATTTGGTGAAAGAAAGCAAATCTTCCTTTTCTTAAAAATGAGAGGGTGAGGGATTCCAGAGAATTACAATTTTGTATTATTGCCTGGAATATTCTAGAATGTATGATAAAGATGTTGATTCAAAACTACTTTCAAAGTGTGGTAATTTGCAGAAGTCAGCATGGATTTGACAAGAATAAGTTGTTTTGGACTAGCCATATCTCACTTTATGTCAGAAGACAATTTTAATAAATCATACTCACAGAGTGCTCATCAGTGCTTACAACATTGAAAAGAAGTTATGAAGTGGATGATAATGATCCTAAATCTATTCTTTAATGTTATTATAAAGAACTTGAAGAGGTGAAGAGGATACTTACCAGATTGTGGAAACTGGGTGTGATAATATCTGAGCAAACAAAACAAAATGAAGCTGGTTCTCTAGAAAAATGGGCTGAAAAATAACAATGAAGTTTAAAGGCAATAAATGCAAAAGGATATCTTTCGCTTAGGAATAAGATATCAAATACACAAGGGCATCTGGCTTGGTAAAAGATCTCGGCATAATAGTTGATTGCAAAGTTAGTATGAGTCAGCAGTATGATGATGATGATGCAAAAAACATGGAACGTTTTTAGGCTGCATCAGTGAAATAATTTATTTTATTTATTTATTTTATTTATTAAATTTATATACCGCCCTATCTCCCTTACGGGACTCAGGGCGGTGAACAGGCGATACTAAAAACCACAATAATAAATAAATAGTTTCTGTGCTAAAATCAAATTAAATAACAGGCCTGTTCTAAAAACACCCCATACAAAACCCCCACTAAAACATAATCAAACTACACCAGGCCGGCCGCACGGAATAGATGGGCCTTCAGGGCTCGGCGAAAAAGGCGCAGGTCCGCAACTGTACGTAGGTCGGGGGGTAGGTCATTCCAGAGGGCAGGAGCTGC